TGCCCAAAAAACTACTTGAGTAAGAGTAAAAGAGTTGCTTATTTAGTACTCTAAATAGTATGATTACGCCCCATTTGTTGTTACGCCCCGTGGCTCAAAAGGGATGCAACAAAATTGGGACACATGAGAAAGCCAAATGTCTAAGGAAAGTTATTTATTAACAAAAGGAAAACAATACAAAAATTGTGTAATGTAGTAATCAGGTGTCAGTAATGTTGTGCTAGATGAATGCGTGGAAGTGTATAATGTGCTTTAGTGTCATGATGCATGCAAAAGAAACATAATCAAACGAATATCGAAACCAATCAAATCAAATAGGCCACCCGCCTCTGCCATCCGTCTGGCTTCTCTTAAAGATGAAAAAAGGTAGTTGGCAGCAGGTGTCACCGATGCAATCAGGTAGGAGGGCGGAGTAATCCGTCCAACGCTGGGGAAAACCCTATTAAAGACACAGGTCATCACACTCCTTTTTGTTTAATGCTTGTTTAAATACAATTAAAACAAGCATGTAACAATCACAAACAGATATAGTATAGTAAAAGTACAGTCAGATCACTTAAAATGTTTTTAAGTAAAAGTACAACATTTTTTTTTAACTAATTGAAAAAGTAAAATGTCTGATAAAAGCGACTTAATTACAGTAATGTGAGTATTTGTAAATCGTTACTTCACACACCTGCCGGCAAGTGAATTGACTTGAAAAAGACTTTGGTGCGACTTAATCTGAATTTAAAGGGGATAGTTCACCCAAATGAAAATTCTGTCTAAATTTACTCACCTGTTTGACTTTGAGTTGAGAATAGCAAGATAGCATACTACTCTTATTATTTTTGCCATATGTTACAGAAATAGTGTGAGTAGTATGCTAGCATATTAGCCTACTACTACATAGTATACTTCGGCTGAATTTGGAATAGCTTGCTGCTTTTCTTGTATTATTTCTGCAACAAATGGCAAAAAAAAAAAATATGCAGGAGTAGTATATTAGCACACTACTAGTATACATATACTTTATCTGAATTCAGAATAGCATGCTAGCATACTACTCTTATTATTTTTGCCATATATGGCACAAATGGCAGAAGTTGTATGTTAGTGTATTAGTAGGCCTATAGTTAGTATATTAACATAGTAGTGTGCATGGTATACTTTGAATTAGCATACTAGCATTTTCTTATTGTTTCTGTCAAATATTGTAGAATTTGCAGGAGTAGTATGTTAGCATGCTATTAGTATACATAGTATTCTTTAGCTGAATTCAGAATAGTATATTATTATTCTACTCTTAAACTCATAAACAAACATTCTACTCTTATTGTTTCTTCCATATGTGTCAGAAATAGCAGGAGTAGTATGCTAGTATGCTATCAGTCACGATGTTAGCAGTTGACCCTTTTCACATTTTCGGGTTTTTCGGAAGCGGAAGTCGTTATAGTTGGGTAAACTTCTATAGCAGTGAAGGAGAGACCACATTAAATATATTTGTTGTATTCCCATTTGCTCAGATAGCAAAAGAAAAACTCCACAATTGTGTTTTCACACTTTCAAAAAGAGGAAAAAAATAGAAGAAAGATATCAATTTTACCGTCACTCCCACAGCCGCTGAATTAGAAACACTCTCACATTAACTAGTTTTTTTTTTAAATCAACTTCTTGAGTGGAACATTTGCTGAGTAATTCTCTAGGGCCGGATTCCCAAAACATTAGAATCCTTCTTAACTGAATGATGATGAGATGAAATGAAATGAGATGTTCTTAAGAAAATATTTGAGAACTTCTGAAGAATTGCCCTTTAGGACTTTCCTACAAACTTCTTTGGAATTTATCAAACAATTTATTGACTTTTTTCTTAAGAACTATTTTTTTTTTTTGGACACAAAGGTAATATAATACAAAATATAGTTTTATAAATGCACATACTTAAAAAAAATGAAAATATAAAAAACTTTGCAGGATTTACAATGCTGATTAAAATGTCATCACAGTCTGTGAAAAGGGTCGATGTAGGATCCTCAACATTTGTGCGCATTGTCATGGTGGTGTAGAGAGGACATTACGATGAGTGTTTAGAGGATACACTTTAATTGCTCTTCATCAACAGCCTATCCACTATAATCACTCCTGCAGTCACCATGGGAGTAATAGAGATCCTCTCATAGTTATGAGGTCATTCTGATAACCTGAGAGGGGATAATGGGGTAAAGAGTGTGTTCATATGTACGCAGTGACCATGACAACATACTCCATGAGGAGGAACACCTGGGATTTTAAAAGGATGTCCAACATTCAAATAAAGACACACACACACACACACACACACACACACAGATCTCATTGCTGAAAACAGAGACCATATGGTTTGAGACCCTGGAGGTGGGGACACTAAAATATCAAAGGCCTGCTGCTGTTTACTGGACAGGTGTGACAATCAAAAGAAAATTAACTAAATGCCGTATCTCATTGAGTTAAATCAATGGTGAAATTAAAAGGAAATCATGTTTACATTGACCCTCTGATTAACAATTCACAGTGTGTGCATGTTTGTATTGAACAAAAACAGACCAAATGAAACTGTAACCATTAAGCATCTGGGGGCCTTTTTCAATAACTAATATGGGGCCCTACCCACATAAAACATATACATAATAGAGCAGAAAAAGCAAGGATTCCTGTTGGTTTGCATCAATGGTATATTATTTTATTACGTGCACTTTCAGCTTCATGAACAGGCAGCACAACATAGAAATAATCCAACCTTATTTGATTAAAACTATATACAATTATACAGCGTTTTACCTTGGAATAAGCCTTGGCCTTTCACGCAGGGCAACTTCACTGCTTAATTGATTTGCACAGAATATTTTAAGCTGTCTGGGCTGACTTAAAAAAACCAGCTAAAACATTCCCTCAACTTGAATTATTTAACATAAGCAAAGAAGAAAAAGTGTCTGACTGACACTGAACCGAACTTATAATAAATAACGATGGGCTCCGCATTATTTCAGCACCGTGGACAGCTCAACTGAGCCCTTTTTAACCGCAAGTTCGACCAATCAGAGACGTCAGTGTTTTTCTTAGAATTGTGAGTAGTGTAGTATTTCTCCAGAAGATCGCAAATAACAAGGTTGATTTCATACCTTGTGGCTTTTATAGGAGCAGAAACTTTCGTTTCACAACCTCGTAGCTCGTGGTCAATCTACCTTGGAGGTTTTAGACATTATGGCTGAAAATCAATATCCTATGGAGAAAATAAATGGGGTTTTGCTGGTCTGTTGGGGCCCCCCTTGGAGGGCGGGGCCTGTTTCAATTGAAATGGGTGAAACATGGGTAAGGCCGCGTCTGACCATTGCATAGCATCTTTTTAAAGTCGACAAGGAAATGTAAATTGACACCATTTAATTTTTGAATGCAGTCCTATCTTGTAAACGATTTGTTGATGTACGTTGTTAAAATATATTTGTTTCAATCAAAATAACACATTTTCAGTCTTAACCACGTTTTCCAATTAATCCAATATCATGTAGTACTTGGAAATACGTCACATTTCAGAAGTAAAATGGATTATGAGTGGATTAATTGTATAAAAGCACCCATAATACTTTAGAACAATGGTGTGAAGTATATACCCTTTCATTACATGCTCTTTTGAACATTTCAGGTTGTGTCATATCATAGTACAACTACTGTGCTATCATTTCTATCTTTTTATTTTGTACCACTTATATCAAGGTAACTTGGCCAACTGTGTAACTAACCTTTAAAGTATCACAAAGGACTAAGCAATGAGTCATATGGCTATTGTCCGTATGTTATTTTTCTTTTGTTATGAATCATTTCATACACACGGTGGGTTTATAAAGCCAGAACTCTCTCTTATGCACAAAAACTGATCAAATCCATCTCGTTTCTTATCCCTATTCACTTTAAAGCTCAAATTTGATACTAAATGGTATATTTTACTTTTTAATTCTTATGGAAGGGAGAAAAACACACAAGGGAGGAGAGGAACGCAGGATAAGCTCTATAATTATCAATTCCTTGACTCGGTTATGAGACAAGAGATTCAGTCTGCTCTCAGCCTCTTAATAATTTGTGTGTTGCGAATATGGGCGAAGTGGAGAACACCTCAGTGTCACAAATGGAACATGAATACCGGCTAAGCAGAACAGAAAAGAGCTCTGAAAATATTAAAAAGAAAAAAAAGAAGACTTAACTGGTAAAAAGCCAAGCTTCCAAACACAAAGATCATGGTTTCATATCCATATAATGAGGAAAACTCATTCGAATGTAGAGCTGTAGCACTCTGTGGGCAATCACTGTAATGTAGATGCTTGTTTCACATTTCTTTCAAATTGAGTCTCTATCCAGATGGATAAAGATGTTTTGGGATGGTCAGTGTCTCTCATCTTCTGTCGTCTAGAGGTTTTATGTGGTCTCTTGGCTGAAATATGATCTGTTTTTGCAATGTGAAATTGGCAAGAGGTCTAATACTTACTGGGGGAAAAAAATCTGTCACTGTTAAGTGAGGCTTGGCTTCTTTTTTGCAGCTCAAGGGCCTCATTCATCTCTTCATCAAACGCTAATTATAACATTAAGAGAAAGTCAAACTGATCTTGGTCAAGGCAGAATGAAAACTTATTCCAACTTCCACTGTAATTCTCTAGGTCCAGATTCCCAGAACATTTTTTTTAACTGCTATATCAAATTAGATGTGCTTAAGAAAATATTTGAAGAATTGCTCTTTGGAACATTCTTTGGAATTTATCTTAAAAAATGTCTTTATTAAGAAGATTTTTTTGTGAATCTCGCCCTGGTTACTAAACAACATTGCCGAAATCCCTCTTATCTATTCCTCCCTTGAATAAAGATATTCCAAGTTATAACAGATCAGATTCTACTAAAATTTGGATGCTTTTTGTAGATTGTTTTTTAATTGTCACATGAAGTGAAATTCAGTAATATATTTCAATTTCTGCCTTTCTGATGTGTTCTCATTTCAGATAAGCAAGCAGCACCTTCAGACTGTGAAAGATCGTTTCCTGGCCTTCCTGAATGGAGAGACTCAGATTGTAGCCGACGAGGCCTTCATCAATGCTGTCCAAAGCTACTATGAGGTTAGGCTCATTTTATTCATCAATGCATCAAGTCTGGAGTTACACTTCCAGTGGATCTCAAACTAGCTCGTCTATCATGTTACACCCAACCCATACAATGCCGTTCAAAAGTTGGGGTCGGTAAGATTTTTTATAAATGTTTTTGAAAGAAGTATTCTCACCAAGGCTACATTTATTTGATCATTAACACAGAAAAAGCAGTAATTGTGAAATAGAAGTACAATTTAAAAACCTTTTAAATATATTTTCAAAAATAATTTATTCCCGTGATAGCAATGCTTAATTTTCCAGCAGTCATTACTCCAGTCTTCAGTGTCACATGATGATCCTTCAGAAATATAATTATTAATTTTGTTTAAAAAAAAAAATACTTTTGAATGGTAGTATACAGTATGTATCAGATCTCTCTTAAAGGGATAGGTCTACTGCTCACTTTATCTGTGTAACCCCCCTATTAACTTTACGTAACAGTTAATAGTTACTAATAAATAAATACTAGATGGAAAATGTGCATGAAAATAGGGTAATTTTGCAATGGGATTAGCAAATAAAAATGCTTTTTCACCATGTTGCACACCAATAAGTGTCATTATAGAGTCCAGGGTGATTGTGTCGGTTGTTTAAAGCCGAATGAAAGTTAGCAAAATACAAACAGCAAAGAATGCCTTTTTTAAGCCACATTATATTCAAACAGGCAAAAGTGCTTTTGAATGGTGCTGGAAGTCTTGGTTAGGTTCCACTTGTTGACTTTTGAGGACATCTAACCGAATCCTTTGTATCTCCCATTAATATAATGCCGTTTAAAGTGGATTTTTTAGAAATGTTAAGCTGTTTGCTTCATGCTGATTTGATGAGCAGAGTAATCCATATATGTGCATGTATTGAATACACAACCAAACTGTTGCAATCAACCTGTTAAATGTTTGAAGTTACTTCAGCCCAAAATGAAGAGGAAATAAATCCTTGCAAAGGATTTGATAAAACTTTGCCTTGCTGGTAAATAAGTAATCTCAAAGTGATACATAATGATATTTAAGGTGATATATAATCTTTTATGACCTAGTAAAGGTGAATTGGGAATAAATTGCAGCACAGGCTAGAGTACTGGGCGTAAAGGAGATTGCTCTCAGTATGGGTGGTAATTTAATGAGGTGAAACTAATGAGCGAAATGCCTTTGCATTCAGTCACAAGCCAAAGCCAGCTTTTTCAATTCAATTAAACCCTGATATTCTTATTGAATTTGTGCTGGATGTTCCCTCTCTGTCAACTCATCTCCCCTGCTTATCCAGGCACGTTAAGGGAATTGTGTCCACTGAAGAGAGGTAGACTGAGGTAAAAAAATATGAGAGGTGAATGGTGATAGAATAGAGAAAATAAAAAGGGGGAAAGAATAGATTATTAAATAAATATAACCTTAACCCCTTCTACACACTGTCAGTCAGTTTCTGCACTGCCAGATTCACACCAATTTTGTCTCGTTATGAATCAGGACTCGACTGTGCACTGTATGACACAGGGAAAATCTTGTCTAATTTAAGACAAAGTATTTTTCAAGTGTCTTGATCACCATTTAACAAGGTTGCGCTGACCTGCAGCCAATGCTTTTGCAGCCAGAAAAATTGCTATGCTTGGAATGGAGAGAAACCGTCTTGGCCTCTGATTTTCTGAGTTCAGATCACACTTGAATCTGATTGATGGCTTCAAGTCTATTCACACTTTGGGGGTTGTTTGTTTTAATAAGCATTATACCACAACATTCATCTGAAAATTTATATACAATATGCATTTTGTATACATATAAAGGAAATTATTGTGGCACAAATTAATGTTAAGGATCATTTTAGTACAACCCAAATTGAGAATATGTAAATCTGAATATAATGTGAATATTTAAACAGAACACTACATATATTTATGATGTATTAAAAATGACAATAACAGCATATATCCAATAATGAGCCTCAAGCAGATTGCTGTTGCTATGGTAACTTCCTCTGGCGAATATAATACTGATTTCAGCATTGATAATAATAAGAAATGTTTTTGAGCACCAAACAGCATATTAGATTGATTTCTGAAGACTGGAGTAATGGCTGCTGAAAAATATACTAAAATAGAAAACAGTAGTTTTACATTGTAATTTCACAATATTACTGTTTTACTGTATTTTATATCAAATAAATGCCTGGTTTATTACTGTAACTACATTTATCTTTGATCACAGATTTTCCTTAAAAGCGACCGTGTATCACGCATGGTCCAAAGCGGCGGTTGCTCGGCCAGTGACTCCCGTGAGGTCTTCAAGAAGCATATTGAGAAGCGTGTCCGCAGCCTGCCCGAGATCGATGGTTTGAGCAAGGAGACGGTCCTCAGCTCATGGATTGCCAAGTTTGATACCATCTACAGGGGAGAGGAAGACCCACGCAAGCAACAGCAGCGCATGACAGCCAGCGCTGCCTCTGAGCTCATTCTCAGCAAGGACCAGCTGTATGAGATGTTCCAACAGATTCTTGGAATTAAGAAGTTCGAGCACCAGCTGCTGTATAATGCTTGTCAGGTAAGCAGGGAACATTTATGCAAGTCTGTTCAGTGTCAAGGAAGTGCAAACTAGTATCTGATACAGGATATGAAAAAAAAAAAATATATATATATAATTATGTGAATCTGGGTTTGGCTCTGTAATCAGATTTTTGCCATGCTTTTCTTTTTTTTTGGTAAAGACGACTAAACACAAAGCACTGCGAGAGATGGCTTGAAAGAAAGAGTAATTATGTGTTATTTCAAATTGCTTGAATCTGGTCTAGAAAGCATCTGCAGTAACCAGAAAAACACCTGTCAGGCTTCCTGAGGAAAAGTGACAGTGACTTATCTGAGAGGGTGTGAATTTGCAAATCATCCTTCAGTTAGAAGATTTTTTAGACCTGCTGCAGAAATGTGCACATTTCAAACTCAAGTCAGAGGGTTGCCCACATTGACATGAAACTGACATGAAACGCATTGGGCCCTATTCTAACGATCTAAGCGCATGGTCTAAAGTGCATGGTCTAAAGTGCACTTAGAGCATGTCCGAATCCACTTTTGCTAGTTTAATGACGGGAATAATGGTTGGTGCGCCCGGCACATGGTCTAAAAGGGTTGTCCATATATTCTCTTAATGAGTAATGGGTGTGTTTTGGGCGTAACGTGCAATAAACCAATCAGAGTCTCATCTCCCATTCCCATTAAAAGCCAGTTGTGCTCACGCCATGGCGGATTGCTATTTACATGGCGGAATTTGTAAGCGGAAAATAGTTATTTAGGTTTTTATGATATCAAAATGTTTGGTACCATTACAATTTCATATTTCTTGTCACCAATTTCAATATCACAAAAAAAAAAACCTCACTGAAAGTGATAAAATAAGAACAAAGAAACTAATAACAAGCAATAGGACAAAAACTACAATAGAACAAACACATAAATACATAAATTGTATAAAGTAATCAAATGTATAAAAAACACTGCAAAGTCTTCACTTTTTAAAATTAAATATACATTTATTTTTAGTTAAAGTGATCCCGTCAAGAGCAGTGTGAGATTTTTCTCTCTTTTGTTGTTTGATTAACATTAATGACACAGACGACAGCAGGTGTATTAGGCTGCTGTCACTTTAAGACCGAATGCACGGATCCACATGTCCGCTACACTTTATCAACTGTTTACATTCATTTTGGACATAAACGACTGAATATGAGGATATTTGCAAAGATGTGCAGTTTGTTACATAAGTATGTGTATTTAAGCGTTCAAGCAGCAAAAAGCACGTCTCTCAGACAGCGCGCAGAAACCAAATCCTTAGACACTGCGCACATATAGCTAAATGAGTTCTCTTTCATTGCTTATTGCACTTCTAACAGTTACAATTTTTTTATGAATTGTTGAATTGTCTATGAAGGGAGTATTGACTATTCCAAAAGGTATGCAACCAAATTTGTAAAATAATTAATCCAAAATTCCAGGAAAGGTGAGAATTCTTCTGTCCATTATTGGACTGTAAAGAACAATACTCAAATATTATATCACCCACTCTTAAGGGGGTCGCACACCGGACGAGAAGCGCAGCGCCAGGTCTTTAAAATTCGAACACATTATTCTCTATGAGTGTACACACACCGGCGGCGCCATTCGGCGTCTGTCCGCGGCGCCCAGCTATGGCTCAGGACCTTGTTCAAAACCCTGCCGCGCCACAGAGCGCCATTTGCATAGTTTTATATTAAATTTACATTTATTTGTCTCAAATCGTCGTTAATGTACATGGCTTCACCCCGTGCTGTTTTCACTCGGGTTAGCTAAACGCTAGCTAAATAAATACTATTGTATTATGTGACATAGTTGCCTAGACAACGGATAACGTTACAACAAAATAACAGACTCAACGTGATAGACACTTTTACTTGATTAACGTTCAAACATCAGCTATTATTCAATGAACATAAAAAAATAAATAATTAATCAAGATAAAACACACATCGTGCAGCTCTTCTACCAGGAGTTGATTCAAAATTGTGCTCGCGCCATTAGAATGTGCGCGTCCGGTGTGCGATACCTGGAGTTGTCCTAGACGTGGCGCGACGCGGCGCTGCGCTTCTCGTCCGGTGTGCGACCCACTTTACAGTAGGTCAAGTCAAGTCACCTTTATTGATATAGCGCTTTATACAATACAGATTGTTTCAAAGCTTTACAGTGATAACAGGAAAATTATACATTTCAGCTGAAGTCAATTCAGTGTTGATTCAGTTCAGTTGTAAAGATCATCAATTATTGAATTAGTTAATTTTATTTACAAGGCAGTTCTGCAAAAAAAAAAGAAAGAAAAAAAAGTCATCATCCAGCTCAGTTCAGTTCTCATACAACAGAGAAAATAGTCAGATGAATAATATTGTTGATTATTAAGTGTCCCCAGCTAAGCAAGTAAGAAGTGACAGTGGCAAAGAACCCAAACTCCAGCAGGTGACAGAATGGAGAAAAATACATTGGGAGAAACCAGGCTCAGTTGGGGGGTCAGTTCTCTTCTGGCCAACGAACGAACACGTTGTCATTATGATTCAGGCTGCATCACAAGTCAGAGTTCAGATCGGGATCGGGAGCATTCAAATACTCATCCAGTTCCATTTGCTTGAAGATTGATTCATCACGCCAGTATGGAGCTGAAGCTGGTCATAGGGTGTGTGCGGAGGACTGGTTCGTGTGGTCTTTGCTGGGGATCTGTGCTGATGGCTGTTGTGTCGACGAGTCCTTCACAGGGGATTGTCTAGTAGACACGGTCTCTGCTGATATTCATAGCTGTGTTGTGGTCATGTCTAGGTGCAGGTCCACCATCTAATCTGGATACGGACCGGATCCGGTTGACTACGGTAACCTCAGGATAAGGATGAGACAGACTAATATTAGCGTACATGCCATTCTTCTTACAATGTAACAAGTATATCGGATGTTATAGTAAATGTTCCGGGTTCTGGTTGACCTAATTTATGAAGCCTTACAATCATTTTACTTATTTGAATAATACAAATTGTTAATGTGCTATGTGTATGCCAGGTTTAAGAGATCATTTCAAAAATACATTACAGAATGATATGAATTGATAAGGTGCTGTCAGATTCATCCCAAATTCTATGCATGGCCATTTCCTGTTCGACTTCAGGTAAATGAAATCAATGGAGACTAGTAATGTGCGAGGTTTGTGGAAAAGCTATTTATGATGACAATTTCATAGATAGTGAATCATTGACTTTGCTTCAGGCAACAAGAAATGGTGTAGAATGAATGAAGAGAGCACAGTAGTGGCTGTAGATGGAAGAAGGCCAATGGTGAGTGGGTTCAAGAACAGTAGAATAGACAGAAAGAGAAAAACAAATGAAGAAAAGCAGAGGAGTGTTCAACTGTCACATTTCTACAGGATAATCAGAAGCTCTGTTTCAAAAGTCAAGTCTAGTCACCTTTATTTATGTAGCGCTTTATACAATACAGATTGTTTCAAGGCAGCTTTACTGTGATAACAGGAAAATGATTCAATGATGCAAACAGAGTACAGTCGTACAGCAGCTGTAAAAGAAAATAGTGTCATTGTTCAGCTGAAGTCAGCTCAGTGTTGATTCAGTTCCATTGTAAAGATCATCAATTATTAAATTAGTTCATTTCATCTATTAAGCAGTTCTGTAGAAAACAACCAAATAAGTACAATTATTGATCCAAAATGCCGGGAAAGGTGAGAATTCTTCTGTCCTTTATCGGACTGTAAAGAACGATACTCAAATATTTTTTCTTTTACCTCTTTCAACTTTGTTAAAAAACTGAAAGGGTCAACGAATATGCGGTTCAGCTGTACTGAAATTCAGATAAGACTGGGAAACACCTTCATACAGAATTTCATAAAGGTTTCTGCAGATTTTGGGCAATTGTGGGATTAGTGACCAGTGGGGAAACAAAAGCACCGGATCCGGAGGAGGTGTCAATGTAGGAGTCTTCTATTCATCAAAATGCCACTTTCTGCGTTCACACTGAAGCCAAGCGAGCCGAATTGAGCGTGTTCCATTTTGATCATCTTTCTATTAGCCTCATGAATCCTACTTACTGTGAGTGGAAGGTAATATCCTAGTAACCATAGCAACGGCTGACACGCCGACCGGGCCTTACCTCAAATCAAACCCTCAAATCATACCCAACGACACCACAGTCCTGTGGTTACAAACGCTGGCATATTTGTCTCTTTCTTTAGCTTTGCTTCACTGTCATTGTCACTGCCAGGATGCTTAAGTTTTTTGTTTTTTTTTCACAGCAGGTCGTTATTTCTTCCAAGCCCCTTCCTGCTTTTTAAATTAAATCTTGTTGATAGGCAGACTCTGTGTTAAACAGCTGTGTCGATTGTGTGTCCGTGTGTCTATGTGTTTAACAGCATTCAGTATCAGTGCATTAGCTGTCTCCTGGGTAGTGGGAGTTTAATCCAATCTATCGACTATTTCCTGAGGGCATTTCAAGATACCAGCTGTGGATGGCTGAAGTGATTGACAGGCAATTAAAATCGATAGAAAACATTGGAACACAGATAAGTCAATCAGTGAAAATCAAGAACCTATTAATTTTGGGCCCTAAACTTACTATAACTCACTTTTTTTCATTCAATTGACTGGATTAGAGTGGTTATTTAACCACGCCCACCGCTTTTCAAGGACGGGTTCTCTATCCACCTTATTTTCCAACGCGGAGGTAAGGTGTTTACTGTAAATAAGCGAGACTTCCGATTTATTAGCCGCTATAGGGAAATACTGAGAATAATATATAAAAATGCATTAAACTGTAAAACTGTTTGTGCTACAAACCAGCTTGTTTATAATTAAGACAATGCATTAAAATACTATGGTAAGAAATACCAATTTACAATATATACAATACAATATATTAAAAGCGCTAATATATTTACAAGAAAGCAAATGACACCGGAAGCCAGACACATTAAAATTACAAATGGCCGCACCCACTGTTACCTGAAAAATAAGTTGGATATAGAACACACACATT